ATAACGATACTAATGATAACGATAATGATAATATTCAAAACAAAAATAAAATTAATAAAAAAAAAATCTTCAGCAAAATGATAGTGAAGATGATGGCAAGTATAGAGATACTAAGAGCCATTATTACAATGGACATATTCATAATGCTAATGACAATAACGATAATCGAGATAATGCTGCAGAGAGTGGCAATAATGAGATAATTGAGGATAGGAAATGATCACAATAACAAAGATAATTCTAATGATGATAATGATAAAAGTAGCAATAATAACAATCATGAGGATAATTAGTAATAATAATGATAATGATAATAACAACAGCAACGATTGCAATGATAATCATAATCATCGAATAAATTGTAAATACTGCTGCTACTGACAAACGAAAAAAAACTGTTACTGACAACGAAAACAATAATAGCAATAACGATTATATTGATGACAGTAATGATAATGGTAAAAATGATGATACTGATAATGATAATAGTAATGGTAGTAATGACAAAATAATAATAACAACAATAGTGATAGCAATAAGAATGATAGGTTTAATAATCACGATAATAATGATAATGATGATAATTACAATAATAATAGAAATGATAATAATGATAACAATAACAATAATTACAATAATGATAATGATAATGATGTAAGCATCAATAAAAATAATAATTATAATAATAACAATGACAGTAATAATAATAATGATAGCAATAATGTTGATGGTAAAAGGAATAGTAATAATCATATAATTATGAAAATAATGATAATGATAGTAATGATAACCATAATAATGTTGATGACAATAATGATAATGATAGTAATAATAAGGATAAAAAGATCATGATAATGAAAATAATAATGATAATAATGACAACGAAATCAATAATAATATCAATGAAAATCCTGACGGTAATAATAATGCTAATAATGATGATGATAATGATAATATGGTAATAAGAATAATGGTGCAAATTTGATAATAATGATAGTAATAAAAATAATGATAATGATGATAATGATAAAATAATAATAAAGATACAAATAAAACTAACAATAACATCAAGAATAACAACTATTATAATAACTACAGTAATGATAAAGATCACTTTGGTAATAATGAAAGTTAAGATGGTAGTAGCAATGATAACTAATAGTGATAAACATATATAATAATAATAATGATAATAATAATAATAATGATTATAGATAATTATTATCATTATTATTATTATCATTATTATTATTATTATTATTATTATTATTATTAATTATTATATTTATATTATTATTATTATTATTATTATATTATTATATTGTTATATCATTATTATTAGTAATATTATTATTATTATATATTATATATACATTATTTTTCTATTATATTATATTATTATTATATTATTATATTTATTATTATTATATTATTATTATTATTATTATTATTATTATTAATTAATTATATTATTATTATATTAACTACATAATAATAATGATAAAATAATGATGGTAATAATAATAACAAATGATAATAATTATGATGGTTAAGTAATATAACAAAATAATAGTACTGATAATAATAATAATAATAATAACAATAATATTCATGATAACAAAATATTGATAGCAACAATGATAATGCTATTAATGATAATAATTATAATAATAATTATACTACTACCACTACCACTACCACTACTACTACTACTAATAATAATGATAATAATAATAATAATGATAATGATAATAATAATAACATTAATGATAATGACGATAAGAATTATAATCATGACAATGATAATAATCATAACAATAATAATAAAGAGGATAGTGATGATAATAATAATAGTTATAATCATAATCATCATAATAACAATAATAATGCTAATCACAATAACAGTAACAATGCTAAAAAAATATAACAACAAAGATAGCAATGATAACTGTAATGATGATAGTAAAGAAAAATATAACAAAAATGATAGTAACAATAATTATGATAACTTGAATATTCCTGCTACTTCTACTGCTGAAAACAACTTGGACGACAGCTTCATCATTATTATCGCAATAATAATGATGATAATAACGATAACAGCAAAACATAAAACTAATAACAATAACAATGACAATGATAATTATGGTGGCGGTGGTGGTGATGATGTTGATGTTGATGATAATGATGATGGTGATGAGATGATGATGATGATGATTGATATTAATATTAAATATTAATATCAATATTAATATTAATATTAATATTAATATTAATATATAACTATAATAATGACCATAATATTATAATAATTATGAATACTAATAATAATAATAATGATAATAATAATAATAATGATATGATAATGATAACGACAACAATAATAATAATAATCTTGATGATTAGGAGGAGGAGGAGGATGTTGATGGATGATTATGATGATGACGAAGAAGATGATATCAATGATAATGATAGTAATAATAAAAGTAACAATATCAATATTAATGGTGATGATAATTGTAAAGATAATGATAATAAGAACAACGATAATAATAATAGCAATAATAATAACAACGACAATAATAATAATATAAAGATGATAATAACGATAATAATCATTATAATGATGATGCTATTACCTATATCATGGCTAATGGTAAGGATGATGATAATAATGTTATTAGTAATGATGATAATAACACTAATAATGATAAGACATAATGATGATAATTATTATAATAAGGATGGTTCTAGAACGTACAGCAATGATAATTACAGCAACAATAATAAAGATGATGTTGATGATGATAGTGACAATATCAATAATATTCATAATAATGATAATGATAACATCAATTATTATATTCACTTTTATTACTGCTGATAACAGAATTACTACAAATGGTAATGATAGCGATAATTGTAATGATAATGATAACATGGTAATAAAAGTATCACTGATAATATCACCAGTGATGCTAATGATAAAATTGCAACTAATGATAATAATAACAATATCTATAATAATACCCACAATAGCAATAATAATGATGATACCAATAATTAGAATGATAATGATGATACCAATAATGATAATGATAATAAGGTAGACAACAATGTTTATAGGAATTATTGATCGATAACAAATATAATGTTGGAAATTATGTTATTAAAAGCCAGTACTGCAGTCTATGGTACTAAAGGGATTAAAGTATTGTTAGTTGATAAAACAAAAGCACTAATGAAAATGATAAGGACCACAAGAATTCGTTCACCAATGTCTCATCTAAAACTACAAAATCGCGGATAAAGACACCACTACAAACAATGTCACTCAGTAACCACGAGGGAACCACATTGTTATCGGACAATAGAACAATAACAGCAACAGCGACGCATAAATCCATATTCTACCTCGCAACGTTAAAAGCCAAGTGCGTGCAGGTCCCTCCCATGACCCGGCGTCAGTGGAGCCAAATCCCGAAGGTTCAAAGAGCCGATATCGCCTCTTAATACTTGTAAATATCGTTGTACAGCGATACCCGACACAGCAGCTAAACAACGTGCTCCTCCTCCCCCCCCCGTATCCCTCTTATAATCCTTGTAAATGGATCGTAAACAAAGCAGTCGATGTCGGATAGGGGACGGCAGTGCGACCAGAAAAAGAAAATTGATTAAAAAAAAAATATATCATTCTAAAAGCGACGTAGTTACTCCACCCTCGCATTGGCAACAGTGATAGGTCGTCTGGTGATCCGAAACTCCTCCTTATCGTGTCCCGAAGCGGTGTTCATTGGCTTACTGTATTATACGACTCGTTCGGCTGTTTTAGTATAGGTTGGCTTCAGTTCTCATTGGCTTGTTGCCTCGTTTCGCGTCCCTCCCCCCCCACCGCACGCCAATCTCGCTCGTTCTCTCGGACCTGTTTTGTCCCCGCTAACTCCTCCCTGCGCGTTGTTTACTCGATTTTATTTGTGTGCATTTCATGATTTATCGTCGTCCGGAACGTTATCCTTTGGCTATTTCTATTCTTTGGCTTTTTTTTTGCCTATTTTCGTTTTCGTTTTCTGCTCTTTTTTGTCGTTTATTTCCTTCGTTCCTTCATTTTCTCCCTTCATCTGCCACACCTCGTACTCTCTCCCCCGCCCTAATTGCCCCTGGCTGCCCTCCCGGTACGCTGCTTCCTAACCATCTTCAGCGCCGGCAAATTGTTTCCTCGCGGAATACATACCGGCGAAAAGCCTCAAAAAGCATCGCCCAGACAGGAGAGTTCCGCGCGGTGTCCGTTTCTCAGTCGCCGTCTTCGTTATATTCGTTAACACTCGCGCAAAATAGCTCCTTCGGCTGATCTACGGGAAAGGAAAATTCATTAACACTTCGCTTAATTACTATCATCATTTCGGGAAAATTGTCCGTAAGCAAGAGCGATAAGTTAATAGCTATTTTCGTACTTAATACCTTGCCGACCGCGCACAGGAAGTTGCTTTTACGTTGCAATTAGTGCGTCGCTTTAGCTTAGATTTAGGCACGTAACGTTCTCCCGCGTATCTTAAATAGTTCTCACGCTTTACATATTGGACCATTAACTTCCCCCCAACTCCCCCCCTTACTCGTTACAGCTTCACGGTCAAAGAAAGGCGCAAACAAGACTCGCACAGCCCTTACAAACCGCATACAAACAACGCGTAAACAAAAAAAAACGAAACAAAAAAAATTCCAAGTTCACAGTAACGGGGTCTTGCGTAGATCGGGAAGCCAGTGTCCATGCTCTGTTGATTATCCGCCGCCGATTACAGTAATTATAACGCGCTATTTTACAAAACTGTCGCCATATACTAGGCTCGATAGGAAATTGTCGCGGCGCTGTAATTACAAGGCATTTATTGCTTATGATTTACACAGGGCGACGGGTGCACACCAGAGGCCAGCCCACCCAGGGTTTGGGGGGCGGGCTCCTGTGTTTTATTTCTTTGATAGCGTGGGTGACTGCCGGGGAACAT